CCGGTGCGATTCGTCGCCGAATACCGGCTAGTTCAGAACTTATTTTTAAGTTCCAGCAAAGTTAGTACAGTTCATAATCATCAGTTGTATATGTTCAGCAGTAGCAACGACCGGTGGGTCAAGAAATTGGTGCTTTTGGTGACAGCGATGTGAATTATTACACAGCGGACCCGTTTAACTAAACTGTTTTGTCCATAAATCTCGGGTCTGCAGTCACAGTCAGGAAAAAGTCGGCTCAACTCCGTTTCGAACGTTTATAGTCACTGTTATAACAACGTCAACCGAAATCTCTGCTATGAGCGCAACTGACGGTTGCAGTAACAGACTATAGCACAGATGTGAGAGCAACAGTTTACTGAGTTCGGCAACAGCTGCACCTCAGAGAAATTCTGCTGCCATTCTCTGTCTTATCCTGCGGAAGAGCTGAAAGTTATTCACGTCGATTTTCAGAAGTGTGCAAGTTTAGGCTCTGTGCAGCAACGCAGGCTTTGAAGAGCTGTATTTTGGTATGTAACAAAATAGCGCTCATTGATTAGACAAACAGAGAGTTCGTGACAGAGGTGGCCAGATCAAAATGTCGAAATAGGTCGAGTCTGCAACGCCTTGACTAATTCAATGAGTTCAAAAGGAGAAACGGTGTTATACAGATTTTACTGTCACGAATCACTGCAAACTTTAGCCAACTGGCATATCCATTCCCAGATTATTATCCTGCGAACGGATGTTTAGAAGACGCGTATTCTACGATGCACCGTTAAATGATGAGACAACAATCGGAAGCAATTTTGCAAAACAGGCAAAGAGAACGATGTCGTCTGTTAAACATGCATCTGCTTATTTCTTACGATGTAAGAAATAGATCAAAGAGAATTGAACACACCTAAATCCATGGAGCACCGCTGTTGCATACATTGCGTGTAAGACTGAATAGCAATTCCAAGATATCAACGTTCCTTGAAGAACAAGCAGCGCGGATCTGTCAATCTGTCAAAGGCCCATTTCATGTTCAGGTAGGTGACGAGTAATGTTTGGCTGACTACCAGGTGCACGTTGGCAGTTACGTTAATGCCAGGATCTCGTCTACAGTCAAGCGCTTGGCTATGAAGTGGTAATGCCGTGAAGGAGGCGACCATTTCGAGAACTGAAAGTAATATTATTAGATAGCAGCTGCCACATTTCTTCTCCAGACTTTCCTACAAGGAAGCAAAGATCAGCTGTTTCCATTAGCACTGTAGCTGCTCGGTCTTCCATGTATATCGAAATCGCTTATGGCGTGAAATAATGATCGATAAAATGGTGAACTGGTCAAAATGGCGAAATGATTTTAGATTTATGGTGGAACCAAATCAGGATGACCCCTTGTCCATTTTTGAGTGGTATTTACGGATGACAGATATAGAATGTGGTTTTGTTATTCGTCATTACAGTATTCCACAGGCGATGGTAAACCTGACAGAAGGTCTATGAGAGAGAACTATATGCGCTGTCTGAACCGAATGATCGCTGTCGGACTAGGTCAACATTACCAATGGAGTTCGTCAAGGCGAGATACTCTCCTATGCTATTCAACATCATGAAGGACTGTGTCTTGCGGAAGTGCGTCGTCCAGAATAGAAACGAGGGCCTGAAATTTAGTCAGCGTCGCAGCACGAGATACCCTGTGGCATTTCCAGTGAATCCTGTCTAAGCAGATGACACCACCGACCCCGTAAGTGGTCATCTGACACTCACTGAAATGGTGTGCAACACTGCTACAGGAGTTAGGCCTGCAAGTCAGCTCCAAAGAAGACGAAGATTTTGAGGTCATGCGTTATGACCGTCAGTCCAAGCATATTATGGAATGGTATTACGATGGACAAAGTGGATTATTTCAAGTACCTTGGAACTTTGTTGAGCAACGATAGAGAAATGGGCCTGAAATAAACAGCCTATCGGGCTGGCATTAGAGAATTATGGCAAGCTGCATAACATATGAAAGGATCACGGACTATAATAACGGACACGAAAATAACCATTCCGAAAGCAGCCATACTGATCATGGTCATGTACAGTCTCCAAATCTTTTCTGCCGTTCTAAAGCTCAATGAGGCTCGTTTAGAAAGGTTTCAAGAAAGCTGCGTCTAGAGCATTTTCAAAGTACGATAGTTTCACCGGGTCACGAACAAGCAGTGGCTGACGACTAGCGGTTACAGAAACCTATTCGGTTAACTCAGAGAGCGGTGCTGGTTTGGTTTGGTAAAATAACCCAAAAGAAGAACGTAAATATGTTCAAAACCTCTTGCACCGGATTCAGATGCTTCACTTAGACAACAATAAAAAACGGGAAAACGTCGTTGAGGCAAACCTGCTGGTGGAAAAGATATTACCTTTGCTACAGCTGCGAACTTTGCCTAATTTCAATCTTAAGTACTATTTCCAACGGTCATACATTATAAATCTAGGCCATTCTGCTATTTAAACTCTGTAAACCTCAGATAATGATGAAAAAACAGCAACAAAGTCAACCGAACAAACGGAATTTCAGTTACAGCATATTAAATTAAATGTAACTTTTTTCTGTTGAAATTTCAGTTGCACTAAGAAAAATTTTTTTAAAAACAAACCGAAATAACATTTATTCATTTATTTTAATTAACATAAGTATCTATGTATTTTTTACTACAAAACCTAACTTTACGGAGATCACAGAATTAATATTAAGCCAGAATACGAAATTATTCCTCTTTTACTTGTTTTAGGCATTCACTTCTGCAACTCGTTCTGTACCATACAAAGGTGTGACAGTAGTAATCATGATCTTGAATCGACAAAAAAGTCGTAAGCTCAACACTGACGAGCAAGACAAATTTAACTTCATGAATAACACGAAAGTATTTTAAGGCTGTGTGCAAGAGCGACGTAACTATAGGTCCGTACATGAAACCGCTATGTGCTCTGCTATGCCTGCAAGAGTTTTATACTGTGATGGTTATCACATTTGTTTACCTTTCAGTTGGAGGGACTATAGCCATGTTATCCAAAAAGCGCTTCATTATCGCTAGCACGTTCTCCATTAGATAAATTTCTGCTTCAGCTGCATGATATTCGGTCAAATCCTAAAGCGCAATTATTTTATTGCAGGAAAAACAACATATAAATTAACAGCTGTAATTAAGGTTGCAAAACTATTTTTGACAAAATAACATCTGACAGAAGTTAAAAGAAGGATAAAAGTTAATTACTCTCGCAAGGAGAACAACATCTTAGTTCAGACGAATCTACCATTTGAAACATTTTAAATATACACAATGTGCACATATGCTAATTCATCACTTAAGATATCAAACAAGAAAAATAACGGATTAGCGTTTATTGTAGTCGATACTTTACTCATGCAAAAAATTACCGCAAATTAAACTATTTCTGAAATAGATGAATACGGATCGAGAACGTCGGAAGCACTGTCTGATGCGTCTGCCTCCGCGACCCGAAAGGAGAAGCGGCGATGGAAGATGGAAGATAGATGAACACTGTTTCATAATGGAATGTTATTGTCGCAGTTCCATTTCATTGGAGTCTATACACTCATCGAAAACCGACACGTTATGGGTATGCTATGTTTTGAAGTCTGAAAAAACCTTGCAGCTTCTGCCTAAGCAAAGATCTTCCAGACATTTGCCTCAGGTTATTTTTTGCGGTTCACGAGGTCTTATGCCGGTCGGTTGGCATGTAGTACTTGCTTAGTCTTCCTTTTTGGAGGCATTTACAACATGGCCCAAATCACCGCAGCTATGATTTCACTATCTGAACAAGTAACAGCTATACACAAAGAATCTAGGATATCTGAACTCTCGACTATGTTGAAACAGCAGTGATTCGTTTCAGATACGTATTTCAGCCGCTTGTACCCGGGATCAGTTTATCAGCCATGATGGCCTACTACCCATGACCACAGTCAGCCTAGTCTTGCAGCTCTGATTTAGCCCAAACGGTTCGGGTTATTCGAGACACAAAGTCGACAGAGATCCCAATCTCGATCTCTTCCTCACGCCTACGATCATCGGTAAACAGATGATTTACCTGTAGCCACGCTGCGCATCTTCGATTTTAGAGAGAACTAACCATTCTGCGGAACCTCCTTTCTAGCACCTTTGCGCATGCTTTACCTGGGAGGCTCAATAAGATAATGCCCTGATAACTGCAACAGTCACTACGATTTCCCTGTTTGAACAAAGGTACTGCAGTCGCCGCTCCTCAGCCTACTGGTGTCTTCCTCGTAGTTATTTTAGATCGAGGGATACTTGCCAGCCACAATATGCCTTGTAAAACTTTCATCATTTCAGAGCGGATTTCATCGATTCCAGCAGGTTAAAGAGTTTTAAAACTTTCTGCAGCTCCTTTGAATTGATTTACTAAAAGACTAGTATCTGCTGTCTGCAGCTCTTCACGCGAGTCTTCTTACGCTTGTTCGGGTCTAAGGGGTTCTTCAAAATAGCATTCATTCCATAGCTGCAGTGTGTCCTCAGTAAGAGGGCTTTCAGATTGTCTTTAAGGACTCTTCATCTGTCCTTCCATTTACGACGGTGACTGCAGATGATCTAACAGAATACCTTGTTTGCCTTGTGGAAATTTGGTTCCAGCGCCTCTCTGGGCTTTTCCCTAAAATCAGCTTCATACTGATGACTGCTTTCATCACCGTGTTGCGCGGTTCTTCGTGCTACATTCGAGCTGAAGGCTCTTTGCTTCCAAGCCAACTCTTAAATACAGCCTTCTTCTTGGAGAAAGCCAGTTGCACTCCTTCGTTACTGGGAAGCTCGTTTCTGATCTCCAGGCGGCAGATTACACAGTTTTCAACCGCAGCATTCGTCAACCACCCTGAGTAAGCTGCCCTAAAAAACCTCCACACAGTTTTCACATGAACGGTCGTCACCCAGATTTGTTCAAACCGTTAAGCAATGATGTTTAAAAATTTCGCCCTCCTGTCTAAGGAAAACAATGTTTCTTGTCTGATTCAGTG